AATCAAATCTTAAAAAAAAAAACTATAGCGGTGGAATTGCTAAGGCAAGTGTGTACACACTCAGAATGCCAGGAGACGGTGCCAGTTTGCCTTGTGAAGGCACTGCCCACAGAGCTCCCACCCAGCGTGCATGAGTCTGTCACTGGGCCGTGCCAGCGGGGCGCAGGTGCAGGTCTCTGCTGCATGAAGAGAGAGTGGACAGTGGGGTCTGGTCTGCAGAGTGCGCTGTTTGAATGAGCGTTCACCGGCCGAGTTTCTGTCTGAGTGGCCCATCTGTGTCCCTTTCCCAGTTTTCCCCTGGGCTTGTTCTTATTGGTTGGGAAGAGCTCTTTACATAGAAAGGACCCATTTTGTCATCTGCAGATGTTCGCCTGCTCCCCCCCACTCCATAGTGCCTTTTGAATTTGTTCACAATTTTTTTTCCTGCCCGGGCTTTAAATTTGCATGCAGTCAAATCTGTGTTTTCCTTGTGTTTTTCAACTCTTCTGTGTTTTCTATAGAGCTTCCATGGCTTTATGTTTTGTTTACGTATTAATCTGTTGGGACCTTCCAGAGGGCGTGAATGGTTTCTACTTTATTGTCCCCCAAGTCTGTGTCTTAGGTTCTGTTTCTCCTTGTGGCGAGGGAAGCGTTGGTAGCACAGATGCCTTTGTGTTTCACGAGTCGGGTCACGTCAGCTGTAGCCTGCAGTGCTTCCTCCCTGCCCGTGCGTGCCCCAGCACCTCCGCACGGCGTCGTGGACATCATTTCCGGAAAGGCCAGTTACATACCGATTTTCCTTCCAGTTCCATTGCAACGTGCTCATGTGATACCCGTGCCCTTCTGAGACGCAGCACCTGGGGAACCGGCTCCTGTCCTCTGACCGTCCCACGCTGGTGGCAGCCGTGGTGGCTTGATGAGGCCTGGGAGAGCAGGATGGGCCGCCCGGGCACGGGTGGCGCTGGGGCGGGCAGATAGGCGTGTCCTTGCTGGAACTTTGCCGTCTGTTCCATGAGGCTCCTGTATGAGAACAGAGCAGAGGGCTGCCGGCCTCGCCAACTCCGCTGTGGTGGCGCTCCCATTTTCCAGGTGGGCGCACTGAGGCGCAGCTCGGCCGGACAGCTGCCCGAGGCATGTCTCTACCGTCAGACTCCCCAGCTCGTGGTTCTGCCGTGCACAGGAGTGTTTTACCTTGCGCTTTCTCGTGAGTGCAGCCCGCGCCTGAGTCTGCACCAGACCTCCTGTCTGAGCGCTAGGTGCCGTTTTGGTCCGTACCTGCCTGAGGTTACCGCCGGCGCCTGAGGGCCGTGCTGGCACCTCGGTGTGGGCACCGGGCGGGGCTCGGGCGCTGGGGAGAAGCCTGGTCTGCCGAGCAGGGCCCCGGGGTGGCCGGCCCTCCCTTCCTGCCTGCGGTCACTCGGCTGGTTGATTTTGTTTTCCTTTTGTTTTTCTCCAAGTAATGTTTTTTTATTGTATTTGTTTTCCATTACCATTTAGTCCCCTTATACTCCCTCCCCTCTGCAGTCACCACACTGTTGTCCATGTCCACGAGTCCTTTTTCCTCAATCCCTCCACCTCCTTTAGCTGTCACCCTGTTCTCTATGAGCCTGTCCTCATTTTCCTTGTCGGTTCAGTTTGTTCATTAGATGCCACATACGAGTGAAATCATATGGCATTTGTCTTTCTCTGACTGGCTTATTTCACTTAGCATCGTGTTCTCCAGGTCCATCCACACTGATGCAAAGGGTAACACTTTCTTCTTTTTTGAAAGAAGAGTAGCATTCCATTGTGTAGATGCCCCAGAGTTGTTTTGTCCACTCATCTACTGATGGACGTGGGCTGCTTCCATATCGTGGTGATTGTAAATAACGCTGCAGTGAACATAGGGGTGCTTATGTTCTTTAAAATCCGTGTTTTGCATTCCTTCGGATATATTCCCAGAAGTGGGATCTCCGGGTCAAAAGGCAGATAGATCCATTTCTAATTGTCTGAGGTATCTCCACACTGCTTTCCACGGTGCCTGCACCAGCCTGCATTCCCACCAGCAGTGCACGAGGGTTTTCTTCGCTTCAGATCCTCGCCAGTGCTTGTCGTTGGTGGTTGTTAACGTTGTTTTATCTTAGGCTCTAGAGGATTTTGCTGTTTGCCTTCCCGGTACCTGCCCGGGTTCAGGCGAGCACTCGGGCTGGCGTGGCCTGCCCCGGCGTGTGCGTCACTCCCACTCTGTCACTCCCCAGAGATGCTGCCGGACGCCTCGTCCCCTCCCCCGTGGCCGGCGGGGCTGCAGTGTTGGCTTTCAGCATGTCCGGAAGTACAGCGTGGGCCGGCACGCAGGGCCTCCCTCTCGGCGAAGGGCTGTGATTTCCATGACGTCGTGTGCTCCAGGGCTTGTCCGAGTTTCCGGCACGAGCGGGATCGCCGCCTGGCTCTTGACGGGACTTGTTTCTGTGTTGTGTTTCCTAGATGCCGTGGACCTGTTGTAACAGCCCAGGAAGCCTGCGGGGGGGGGGGGCGGGGCGGGGGGGGGGCAGCCGATGAGTCCGGGCGTGCATCTTGCATAGAGAGTGTCCTGGGCTCTCTGCACCTCGTCTCTGAGGAGCCCGGGGAGGCCAAGGAAGCGTGGCCAGCCTGGAGCTCGCTCCGTTTTAGAGCAAGCGGAAGCAGAGGCGCTGATCTAGGCCCTCACATGTGCGCGCCCACACGCCACACCCTGACGTGGGCAGACGGTCATCGGACCGTGTCGTCTTTGTGCCTTGGAGCGGCGCGCCCGCCAGCCTGGTGGTGTCCGCTTCCCCAGCACGTTCCCCTGCTGCCCTTGGCTTGGGCTCTGTCTGAGTGTCCAGCTGGTCCAAGCAGAGTCCAGTGTCAGCTGACGCACCAGCTGGCACTGCCCACATCTTCTCGGAGCCACATGATGCCTTCAGACACACAGTGGCCATCTTTGTCCAGCGGGGACTCAGGCGTGGCTGGCATGGTGCAACAGCTCACGCCCAGTGCAGTGGGCGCCACGCTGCGCCTCGGCGGCCCTCCCACCCGAGTGTGCCTGTCTGGGCCAAGGGGTCCTGTGTCTCGCTTCCCACCCCTCCCCCTGCTGCGAAGGAGGCGGCAGCCCAGGGGTCAGCGAGGCAGGCCCGAGACCCTCCGTGTTTTGCAGTCGGGGCCGTGGGCGTCATCTGGGTGCTCTGAGGGGCGGTGCCTATGTCCACACCTTGGTTCCTGGTTTGCTTGGGGGAATAAAGCCCCGGACCCCAAGTCCCCGGTGCCCCTCCAGTGGCCCGGTCCTGGGGCTGCTGGCGAAGCCTCAGTGGGGCCCAGCCCGGGGACACTGCGGCGGAGGCCTGATGGCTGTGGTCCCACACATCACGCTCCCTTCCAGGCCTGGTCCACAGCAGATCCCCATGGGCCGGCGCCCCCGAGCCTTGGTTTTTGTGCCTTTAAAATGGGACTCATCATGAGGTCACTGACATAAATGTGCCCAATGCGCCTGTCTCCAGGTGTCTTCAGGTAGCTAGCAAGTGCCACAGGCCAGCGAGTGTGACGGGGCCTTGGCACCTGGTGGCGAGCATTGTTGTACTTCCTCCCGGGCAGTGAGCAGACGAGGGAGGGGCAGGGAGGGGAGGCGCAGGCCTGACCGAGTGTGGGGCGCACCGTGCTGGTACTCAAGCGGAGACGAGTGTCTCGGTCACCTCGGGCGGCCGTACCAGAGCCACAGTCCGAGGGGCTCAAACAGCAGACATTGATTTCTCCCAGTCCTGGAGGACAGAAGTCTGAGGTCAAGGTCTCGGAGGGCTGGTTCCTCCTGAGGCCTCTCACCTGGGCGTGTAGACGGCCGTCTCCTCCCTGCGTCCTTGCATCGCCATCCCTCTGTGCGTGTCTGTGTCCTGATCTCCTCGTCGCTATGGGGACACCAGTCTTACTGGACTGGAACCCACCCACGTGGCCTCATTTCAGCCTAATTACCTCGTTAAAGACCTTCTCCCCCAGTACTGCCAGTTCTAAGGTGCTGGGAATAGGGCTTCAACGTGTGAATTCGGGACAGAGTTCAGCCCTGACAAGAAAGGCGTGAGACAGGCCATGGCGGCGAGGGCAGGGTGGTGAAGAGGGGAGGCGCAGACCTTGGGGTTGAAGTCCCCACAGAGAGCGAGCAGACAGCGCTTGGGGGATGGCGCAGCCGCTGAGGGGGTGGGGCGGGCAGCGGGAAGGTCCGTGGGTGGCCCGTGACTGGATGACAGAGCTTTCCCGGGGAACAGAGCAGAAGGCCTGCGTTGTAGTCCACACCCCGACACCTGCAGCTGGGGCTGGGGACACAGCCCCCTGTGGGCAGGCGAGGGCGGACAGAGGGCTCTGGGAGAAGGCACGTCTGAAGGGAGTGGGTTACCCTCGCTGGTTCAGGGACACGATACAGGACCACCTGTCACTTGGACTGTACTCACCTGAGTCCTCTGGGCTTTCAACAGCACCTGTGCAGACACATCCGGGAAGTCGGGCACTGTGAGCCCTGGTCCCGGGCTCAGCAGAAGAGGACCCCGGGTGCTGCGAGATGCCCGCCCAGTTCTTGCTTGCTCATGGGTCCTCTTCGAGCTGTGTGGCCCTCCCTGGGCAGCATGCTTATGCTGCAGCTCTCCTAAAGGTCGTCTCCAGGTCGGCGTGGGGAGGGGGTAGGTGGAGGCCTGCATGGGCTTCCTGGGGCAGCCTGGGGTGAGCTCCAGGCCCTTGCTTCAAAGGGACACCTGTGTGTAGGGCACCCCCTGACTTTGCGCTGATGTGCAGCGTGGTGTCCACAGCACCGCAGGAGCCGCCTCTCCGCCTTTCCCCGCGGGCTGGGAGAGGCTGGGGCCAGCCTCACCCCCTGGTGCAACCCGGCTGCTGCGGGCTGCTGCGGGCTGCTGCGGGGCAGTGGTGCTGCCTGGGGCCATCACGGCCCACCCAGTTCTGCTCCCAGGCTTTTCGGGTGGGGGGCTTCAGGCTCTGTCCCACGGGAACGGGGTGCCCCGCTCACTGCACATGTGCTCTGTCCTCAGGTGCCGAGGCGAAGGTGATTTTGCCCAAGAAGGAGAAGCTGAAGCTGAGGCGTGAGCGGTGGCTGCAGAGTAAGTGCATCTCTCATGTCCTGGGTGGCAACGTGGCTCACTTATGGCACAGGCTGCCCCGTCCTCTGTCCTACTCACGGCCCCTTGTCGAGGATCAGGGCGGGCCACGCTCCAGGGGTGGGCCGGGGCCTTGGCAGCATTCCTGAGATGGCCCGTGATGCGACAAGCAGATGACCCCCAGGAGGTGGCCCTGTGTGAGCTTCTGCAGAGCCTTGACTTCTCCTTAAGAAAATGGCCTCAAGAAGGTGCTGCACTCAGCTTCTTGTGTGTAAACACCATGTTTTGGTCCTGTGATGAATTTGTAATTACAAAAGTGCCACACGCTGGTCGTGAGTCCTTGAGGGGACAGAACTGTCTAAAGGGGCAGGTGGAATCATGTCCCTCCAGCATGAGCCCTTTCAGACCTCCAGGCACATACACCCGCACGGGGCGTCTGGGTAACTGCGGTTCTCTGTGTGGTCCCAGGGCCTCTGGGTCCGGGTCTTTGGGGGTCAGTGGGGCCCTTCTCTTGTGAAGATTGTGCTGTAATTCTTTTCTTACCATTGTATTTTTAGTGTGGTTCCGCTAACTTATAAAATTAAGTCAGAATACAGTTGGCTTTCTGCTCGCAGATTCAGCCAACCTCGACTGAAAACACAGTCACAAGCCACATTCCGAGGAAGGTGGGAGAACATCACCGGGGCAGTTACACGCACCCACACTCCCGGGCTTTATGCTGCAGCCTCCTGCACCTGCACCACAAGCCTGTGTAGTGACCGGCTGGGTGAGGTCGAGCACCGGAGGAACGCACTGTCGGGGGACGAGGTGAACTCGGGGTGCGTGAGGCCGCCACCGAGGAAGGCGGCCACCGTTTCACAGCGGACTTCTCCAAGTAGGATGCGTGCACTCTCGGACAGCGTAGTGAATGCACAGACCCATAACCCATGGACCGTGCACAATTGTGTGTGCTGTGACTTTTCACATTTCTTTGTCACGTGTCTGTTCATCTGTCTGTCCCTGTCTGCCTGTCCATCTACCAGCCCGGGTTTTATCTGTCTACACTTTCCAAAGTAAGTACAGACATCAGGACCCTTTCTCTCAAACAGTTTGCTAGATTCGGTATTTGTTTATGGTCCTTTTTATTTTTATTTTTAGATAAAATTTAATGCAGTGACATGCACATCTTAAGTGTGTCATTGAAGGATTACAACAGTTGCACACGCATAACCCTTTCGCTGCAGAACCGCCTCACCCCCAGGAGGCCCAGACTGCTGAGGGGCGGCACCCGCTCTGTCTGGGTCACACTCTAGGTTCACTGCTCTGGATGTCACGTGACAGGAGCCATGCAGCCTGTGCCCTTTCTGTGTTTTCAAAACTCATCCACGTTGTGTGTGGCTGCGGTCCACTACGCTCTGTTGCTGAGAAGCGTTTCTTTATATGGACATAATATTTGGTGCCCACTTTCCTACTGATGGACACCTGGTCTTTTTTTCTCTTAGCTGCTATGACTAAGGCTGCTATGAACATTCTTGACAAGCCTTTTTGTGGACTTATGTTTTCATTTCTCTTGGGTAAATACTTGAGAATGGAACACCGGGTCACAGGGTAGTTGTATGTTTAGTTTTACAAGCAACTACCAGATGTTTCTCTAAAGTGGTTGTGCATTTACACTCCCACCAGCGAGGCTGGGAGCTCTGGCTGCTGCACGGCTTTCCAGGGTGTGGCAGTGGCCACCTGCTGAGCACAGAGCGGCAGCTCATTGTGGGGTCAGCGTTCATGGCCACGAACCAGCATCTTCCTGTCTCAACTGCCTGTCTGTGCTCCCTCTTCACTCAAGTGTTCCCTGAGGCTCTTTGCCTTTTTACTCTTGAGCTCTAAGAATTCTTACATCCTGCACACCCGTCCTTGGTCAGGTGTGTGTTACACAGATAATTTTCTCTCAGGCTGTGACTTCCTGTTCTCTAAAAAACCTGTATTGTTTTGGCTTTTATATTTAGGTTCCAGATCCATCTTGAATTAATGTTTGTCTGTGGTGTGGGTTTTTCTTCTCAGTTGTTCAGCACTGTTTGTGATGAAGGCTTCTGTGTCCTCATCCAGTTGCTTTGGTGTCTCTGTGACAAATCAAATGGCCCCCTGCAGTTTCTTGTACCTGAGCAAATACCAACAAAAATCCTATTGGGGTTGCAATTGAGATTGCTTTAAGTCTATTGATCAACTTTGGGAGAATTTCCATTTTAACAATATGGACTCTTCAAGTCCATGGACATGGTATATCTCCCCAGTTACTTAGATTTTCTTTATGAGGAGGCACCCAGAAAAACCTGGGATTATCTTCTGGAGGGTGGGCCCCCTGTAGGACAGGTCTCCCCTGCTAGGCAAGTGTTCTGGGAACCCACCTGCATCAGTGCACCAGCTGGTGTTGCTGTGAGAGGCTGTGTTCAGCGTCAGTGAGTTTTTTTTCTGAAGACTCTTTCAGTGCGTTTGCCCGGGTGATGACGGGTGATTTACGAACGCACCTGCCCACTCTGCGCTGAGTGTTCACAGTGTTTGACCCAAAACGGCGTGACCCCCATGTCCCACCCTCCCTATTCGTCTGATTTCACCCCAAGTGACTTTTTTTGCTTTTAAAGATTTTATTTATTTTTGGGGGGGGTCAAAAAATTTATTCTTTATTTTATTTTTTTAATTTAAATTATTTTATTGTTGTTCAGTTACAGTTGACATATTTTCTCCCCACCCCTCCCCCCTCCCCCCTCCAAACCCGCCTCCCTCCCTTACTTTTTCACCTTCCCTATTGGTTTTTGTCCATGTGTCTTTTATAGTAGTTCCTGAAAACCCTTCTCCCCACTGTCCCCTCCCCCCTCCCCTCTGGCTATTGTTAGATTGTTCTTAATTTCAGTGACTCTGGTTATATTTTCTTTGCTTTTTTCTTTTGTTGATTATATTCCAGTTAAAGGTGAGATCATATGGTATTTGTCCCTCACTGTCTGGCCTATTTCACTTAGCATAATGCTGTCCAGTCCCATCCATGCTGCCACAAAGGGTATAAGCTCCTTCTTTCTCTAAAGATTTTATTTATTTTTAGAGAGAGGGGAAGGGAAGGAGAAAGAGGGAGAGAAACATCCATGACGTACAAGAGATGCATCAACTGGTTGCCTCTCACACACCCCCAACTGGGGACCTGGCCCACAACCCAGGCATGTGCTCTGCCCAGGAGTCAAACCAGCGATCTTCCGGTTCACGAACCGACACCAAACCACTGAGCAACATGAGCCCAGGGCCTGAGTGACTTTTTTTTGTTTCCCCAGATGAAAGAAGTCCTCAAAGGGAAACATTTTGCCAGTGTGGAAGAGGTGAAACAAAAGATGGCAGAAGCACTAAAAGGCATCAGAATTGACGATTTCAAAAACTGTTTTGAGCAGTAGGAAAAAATGTCTTGTTAGGTGTATTGCATCAAATGGAGAGTACTTTGAAGGTGACTGAAGTTTAAACATAGAATAAATACACAATTTCTAGTAAATAAATTCCAGGGTTTTGGGGCCCCTCATAGTTTATGTCACCAGTGTTGTATAGGTAGAGGTCTCACATGGTTTCTTTTTGATCATCTTATTGCTGTTCTATAGTATTTGAAGCTGTAATAAATGGAATCCTCAGAAGCTACGTTTTCCAGTTTTCTGCTAGTACATAAAAGCGTTCTTTTAAATACTAATCTCATATCTTTTGACCTTTTAAAATTGCATTAGTTCCAGTAGTTATTTTGTAATTTCCTTGGAATTTTCTACATTAATACTCATGCCACTTAAAATAGAGTTTTGTATCTTCTCCCAGACTTTGCTTTGGAGTCTTCTTCTCATCTCACTGACTCAGACTTGGGGTGCAGTGATGAAAGCTGTGAGAACTGTCCCCGGTCTTGGCAGCCGGGGCTCGGGGCCCTGCTGGCGTGCTGCCAGCGAGCCTTGTCCCGAGGGGGACCCCGGGCCATGTGGCGCGGAGAGCAGCTCGGCGTCACGCATTCTGTTCCGTGGCCTGTTGCCGTGGAACCTCCTTCAGGCTTTCGCAGGCGATGAGCAGACATGGGCTGGGTGGTAAGGAGGCACGACAAAGACAATCTCTTGTTGCTCCTCTTCTGAATCCCGCTGTGGGACACGGGTGGGCTTTCAGGGAGCTGGCGGCAGCCTCCTGGGCGCCGTGTGGAAACGCAGGTCTCGGCCCATCGGAATTTCCCATGCTCAGCCTAGCCAGGGTGCTTGGTTTTAGAGTCCTGATTTGTCTGCGTTACGTTTTTCAATATTTTTTTTTATTTTTCAACTACAGTTGTACAATATTATGTTGGTGTCAGGTGTACGACCCAGCGATTACACATTTACATAGTTTACAAAGTCATCACCCTGACAAATCCGCCGTTCACCTGACACGATGCACAGTTAGTACAGTCCTGTGGACTGTGATCCCCACGCTGTGCTTTCCCTCCCTGTGACTGCGCTGTAACAGCCACTTTGTGCTTTTTAATCCCTCCGCCTTTTTCACCCGACTCCCACCCGTATCTGGCAACCCTCGAAATGTTCTCTGTATCTGCGAGTCTGTTCCTGTTCTGCTTATTTATTCATTTGTTCTTTAGATTCCACACATAAGTGAAATCATATGACATTTGTCTTTCTCTTAATTTCATTCAGCACAGCACCCTCTCGGTCCGCCCGTGTCGGTGCAGGGGGCAAGATTTTGTTCTTTTTTATGGCGGTGTCACATTCCATCGTGTCCATGTACCGCTTCTTCGTTCGTTCATCCGCGGTGGCGCTCGGGTTGCTTCCGTGTCTTGGCCGCTGTAAGTAATGCCGCGTGAGCATGTGGGTGTGGGTGTCTTCGACTCAGTGGTTTGGGTTTCCTCAGGTGAGTGTTCAGATGTGGGATTGCTGGGTCCTTCTTTGTCGCTTGGGTCTCTTCTTTGCTTTAAAGCCTATTTTGTCTGGCGTAAGTATTGCTACCTGAACTTTTTTGTTTGTTTGTTTCCATTTTCATGAAAT